GGATGAATGCATGGAGCGAGAAAGGGAGGGAGGGAGGAAGACATGAAGGGAGGCAAGGAAGGGAGGATCTGTGAAGGGAAATCTCATCTGAGATGGGAGGGCAAAACTGAGAGAGGAGGAATGGAAGAGAAGGAGGCAAACTGGCAGCGATGTAAGGGACCGGAATAGAGGCAGGTAAAGAAGTGAGAAGGAGATGAGGTAGGAAGTAAAGAGATTTGCAGGTCGCAGATGAAAAGAAAATGTAGGGAAGGAACCAGGAGAGCGGCAGGGAGGAAAAGATGAGGTGGGGGATGAGACGGGAAAGGCAGGCTTAGGAAGAGATAAAAAGGCAAGAGAGAGGGAGCCAAGCAGAGAGGCAAAGAGAGACAGAGAGGAGGGAGCCACTGTCGAGGTATCCTCACTGATAAGGAGGAAGTGATGCTTCACCATTTCAGCGTGGAGGCAGATAGACAACTAGCGCCCTCTAATGGCATTAGCAATGTGTCCAGGGAGTAGACAGCAGACAAGAGGGAAGAGCCAATCACTGCCAACATTTCCAATGAATTAAAATGGTAATACACTCATTGGGGCACTGCTATGAATCCCTGTTAATTAAAATGACATTTGACTTGTTAAGGATGAGCCCCAGTTGAAAAAAACCACTGTGTACCACTGTAGGCAGCATCAGTAGATGTACTGGGTTTGTACAAGGCCACATGAAGTTTAGTCTGTCTGTCTGTCTGTCTGTCTGTCTGTCTGTCTGTCTGTCTGTCTGTCTGTCTGTGTGTGTGTGTGTGTGTGGACTTTGTGACACCTTGGCAGCGTATGGGCACAAACAGACTGTGTATGACAAGGGGTGAGCTACTCCCTGAGTGTGTATGTATCCTAGCAACAAGACAGACGTAGAAGCAGTGCAGTGAGCAGCTGGTAGAATGGGACACAGAGACCATGATGATTTATCACAACATAAATGTGTGTGTGTGTGTGTGTGTGTGTGTGTGTGTGTGTGTGTGTGTGTGTGTGTGTGTGTGTGTGTGTGTGTGTGTGTGTGTGTGTGTGTGTGTGTGTGTGTCTTCAATTTAACAGCTGTGAGAGGTTTAGGTGTGTCTGCAAATGACATGCATCCATGCATGTTTAACGCTTAAACACTCATCAACGTGTCAAGCTGCCAATTGCAATGATAACCACCAATAGACAGCCAACGACATCCCATCATCACAGTTTCACAGTTTCCATATATAAAACAAAAACCATTATCACTTGTCTGTCAATCGTCAAAACTAAATGAAATGTTGGTTGATATGGTGTGTTTATTATGAGCATATCTGAAGGTTGACTGTATGAGCGAATGTAAAATGGCTATTGCATTTTAGACTGACTTGAATCTTGTACATTTGTACAGATCATTGGTGTTCTGCTCTTACAACGGTCAAATTCATCTTTGACAGATAGGCTACATGGTATCAAGATGAATGCAACCCTCTAATCACATGCTAACATATCAATGCTTCATTTCATATGTAATAACAAAATCATCTTTCGAAATTCATTTGAACCATACTTCTAATTTCTATAGATTTAGAAATTAGAGACTACATGGACACCCTTAGTGTGTCTCAAAACGACATGTTTAAAAATGAAAATCTGTGAGTTGGAAATTAAAAGGAGTTGGAAATTAAAAAGAGTTTGTTCCAGGTTTAAACAAGAAAGAAGGATTAAAAAGAATGATATCTCTGACTCTGCAGCACTGATTGTGATGCTTTAACATCCCTTATAAGTCCAACAGTGTTGGGGGAATGCAATGTTACATTTGTACTCATAAAGGTATCGCATACTTGGAGTCATTTACAACTTTACAACAAGACGAACATGTGTAATTCAGTATCTGATTCTGGAATATGAAACATGCTAAAACTCTTAGCATATATCTTATCATGGATCATCAGACATATTGAAGATCCATATGGTATACACGTCGTACAAAGATTCAAAGAATAAAGATGATAGATAGAGAGGCCTTTCCCAAATTGGGATCAATAAAGTTCTATCTTATCTTATGTGATCCTGCATCTCATCTTATCGACAGGAATATGTGTTTGTCTCATAGACGTGATGCAGATGATTATACAAACACAAGCCCACATTGGCTGCAGCGCCAGTACCAGTCTTTCATGGTGAGCAGGGGCAGCTTTCCAGACCTCAGGCCAGCTGGAGGGCCCCTGGCCTGGGCAGAACTCTGTCTCCGTGGGCCCCCTGCCTGCCAGACTCTGCTCCATGGAGGTGCATCGTGCTACAGCCAATCATCAAGTCAGAACCGCTTCTGGAGTGCAGAGCCAAGCCACAATAAGGGGAAAACACATTTCACTAACACTGCTGCAATCATCTGGCCTGGTACCAGATGTCCCCATGTCCTTTACGTCTGTCTTTAGATATTCATCAGAGGAGAAGACTCACAGAAACTCCCTACATCACTACATGTCCACAGATTTGGACATTAACCGATTTGTACACTTCATCTTGATTTGCACAGATTATCTTCAGTTACATAAATAGAGTTTGTGCAGCACGTGTGGTATCAGTTTCATTTATGAAATGAATGTCATGGTTAAGCCTAACATTCAAGGCATTCACTAGATGTCTGTGTGCTCTTATGTGAAGAAGGCAAGGTGGATATATAACAGAAGAAAGAACAGAGAAGAAAGTGATCTTCTTTGTTTCTATTTGATTCTCTGTGTGCTACGCTGTTGTATCCTTATCCACCCTCAGCCTCCACCACCCTTATCTCCCTCCTCTCTCTCTGTGTTCTCTGCAGGCTGCCTTGGGAAATGTGATGTTTTTTTAAACGGCGCCGGCTTCATGTGTTTTTATGTCTGCCCATAAAAAAGCAGCTTCCTTTAAAAAGGCTCAGCTCAACAATGTGCTCGCTGTCACTCGATGACAAGCAGCACTGGGAAATGACAACAGAGAGCCTGAGAAAGAGAGCGAGAGAGGGGGAGGGGGAGGGGGGGGTAGAGTATGAAAAGAATAATGTAAAAAAGATATCTACAAAAGTTTTGATTCACTATTTTTAATTTAATAAGGAAAATTCCTTCCCTATTTCCCAAAGATGATCTGATTTCTAGCACTTCCACTCAAGGGAAGTTACTTTAAACTTCTCAAATTGGTTCATTTTACGTTAGACTTTTGAAACTCAGGACGGACATTGTTTTGAAATGGAAAGATTATTGAAAAATCCCAAAGCAAATACCAATTTCTGTTACTTTCTAAAGAGGTATCCTGACAATAAGCGTTCTCCTCTCACTCACAATAGACTGAAAGGCGGTTAGACCAAAACACAGCTTACTCATGTATTTGAGTGGGATCAGTCCAATGCACAGAGGATGCCAAAGCAGAGGCCTTGAGCAAAAGAAACACAGGGTCACCATCTGACACAAAGGTTGTACCTGGGTCTACACTTGCAACATTATACCTCTGCAGCGCACATTCCCATGAAAAGCACACTGGATCTCTACTGTTTACCTTGAGAATATTGCAAGGTAAAATAGCTGCCTATGTTATAAAGACACAGTAGTGAAAGCCTGTCCCTGAGTACTGTGATAAATCTTCAAATTCCCAGATGTGTTATCCTCAAAGTGGACATTTAGTATTGTACTATGTAATGTGTTACGCCCCAACCAACAAAGCACCATTTACAGTTTAAAGCTGTGCTGTATTCAGACTGAATGCATGATGAAGACACAGAGCTCAGATAGCATGAACACATTTAGCTGGGCACGTTGATCCTCAAACTGGAGTTTAAGCTATCTACTGAGGGTAACGGTTGTTGCTAGATCTTTCCTTAAAAAGGGTAGCAGTAGAGTCAGCACGCAAACGCATTCATTGCACACACAGAGAGACACACTCTTACCCACTTACATGCACACAGCTGGCTCACATGCAAACCCCAAGAGGCAGACCTCAGCCTCACCATAAAATGCCCCACCACACACAGCCACACATACATAACCTCCACAAGGCTTCATGCATCACTGCGCTGCCTCCATCTCAATCCCTCACACCCCTACCCATCATCCCTTTCTCTCTCTCTCTGTACTCTATCATCCCCCCCCCCTTCACTCCCCTTTCTCTATTTTAGCCCACCTGGTATAGTGATCCCCATCTGGATCTGTTGAGGTGTGAGATGTATTTTAAGGACACATTAATAGCTGCCCAGTGACCATATTAAGAAGCTACATCTCTTGATCACACACCTCAACCTTCCCTCTCTCAGTGTTTCTCTCTCGCTTTCTCCTTGTCCTCACTCCAGTCCTTTCTCCCTTTCTTCCAGTCCAGAGCATGTCCACGGGCTTAACAAGATCGATCGCTCCTAACTCCTTGTACTGCCTGCTAAATCAATGACTCTTTGTCTCGTTAAGCACGGGAAAGAACTCTTCCTGCCTTTTGTTTCTGTGTTGTGTCCGGTGAATGTGTGTGTGTTAAGTGAGAAAGTGAAGCATTGGGGAATACATTAAGAGAGAGAAGGAGAGTTTGGTACTGTAGAGGTGCAATGCTCACTGCAGAACAACTTGGGGTGTATCCTGGGACACGGTCCGCACATTAAATCAAGATGTGAACTACTTCCTGGGTGGCAGGAAGGCAAGAGGGATAGCCTACTGTATGAAAAGCAAAAAGAGCACTTATGTGGACAGGTCAGTGGAGGAGAGAGGCATAAGGCACAAAGAAAGACAGACTGTGTGTGTGTGTGTCTGTATGTGTGCAAGAGTGTGTGTGTGTGTGTGTGTGTGTGTGTGTGTGTGTGTGTGTGTGTGTGTGTGTGTGTGTGTGTGTGTGTGTGTGTGTGTGTGTGTGTGTGTGTCTGTATGTGTGCAAGAGTGTGTGTGCAGTGGTGCGAGAAGAGAGCCAAACCTCACCGCTGACTTGGCCAGGGCCTCTGGAGCCAGAGAGAAAGCCCTGCAGACCACAAACTCTCTTTCTGTGTGTCTCTCTCACATACACACCCTCATTGAAAGTGTCTCGCTGTGTGAATACGTCATTTCAAAGCATGTGTTTCTGGCCAGGAGAGCAAGAGAAGGAAGCTTGTGAAAGAGAGAGGGCCTTAGAGGAAGAAAACGGCAGTGGCTGGGATAAATTGAGCGGAGAACAACGCAGCGATTCACTCGCGTCCTGAGCAAAGCAAACAGGAAACACACTCTCTCGCTCCACTTGTGTTACCCTCTCTCATCTCTTGCCCTCGCCACTCCACTGTATTTAAATTCCTGTCGCTGTAGCTCATTATATTTCCCAAATGCAGAGGAGTAGGTGGTTGCATCGCTGCACTTTAAGTCAATAGCAGGACTGCAGAGCCATGAAAATGAATAAGGATAGGGGCTCTTCACACAGCAGCACTGTATAAAAAGGCCTGGGAGTGCTCATCATCTACAGCACCGCTGCTCCCGGCCCATTTGTATGTCACAGTGACACTACATTAGCTGCCCTTGGCTGAGCACACACTCTGCAAGCACTGCTTTGCATCACCCAGTGTGCAGATATACAACAAACAGTGTTTGTGTTTGGCTGGTGCAGTGCAACATATTGAGAAAAGAGAAAGAAGAAAAGAATAGCACCCAAAGTACCCCTACAGAAAGAGAGAAAAAGATGGAGCAATAATGGGAACAAGTTAAGCATACCAGATGGTGTAAAGGTCTCTCACCTCAAGCAGGTCAGCGCGCACGCACGCACGCACACACACACGCACACACACACACACACACACACACACACACACACACACACACACACACACACACACACACACACACACACACACACACACAACAAACTTGTGGAAAATTGTGGAGAGGTTGAGTAGTGTTGCTAAAGAGGGGTGGCTTTCTTTGGCATGTTTGTTTATCTGGCTTTTTTTGCATAACGCTGAAAATGTAGGCAATGCTACACAGAGCGGTGTGTGTGTGTGTGTGTGTGTGTGTGTGTGTGTGTGTGTGTGTGTGTGTGTGTGTGTGTGTGTGTGTGTGTGTGTGTGTGTGTGTGTGTGTGTGTGTGTGTGTGTGTGTGTGTGTGTGTGTGTGCGCGTGCGTGCGTGCGTGCGTGCGTGCGTGCGTGCGTGTGTGTGTGTGTTATTAGGAAACAAAGGGAGCATATGGCAGCAGCAGCCAAGGCTGTAAATTAAACATAGAGGAAGATTAGGCAATGAATGTGTGCTCTGAGACATGGAGACAGCACTGAGGCAGGGGCGGAGCAGACCACTGCAAGACCAGAACCGGGGGTCGGGGGTGTGAGAGTGTTTGTGTGTTAACCACATATTAAACACTTCAAACCAATCAATTGGATGACTTACTGCAATGCGAGCATTTTAAAACAAATATGAATTAAATGAGATACTCAGAGGGGTAGACAAAGGCATAAAAGCTTTTAATGACAGCGACGAGGGTCAACAAGAGTGGACACGGAGACGACCCCACCCCCCTGCAGCTAACTGGACCCCTCCGCTCCAAACTAGACAGCTGCTGTTGAGCTGAAGCAAAGCTGCATCTCTGTCAATAGGATTACTGAGGCTCTTCTCATATACAAAGTCCAACACATCAACACACTATCCTACACATATGGTAGGCACACACACTGTGCAGAAACACTCCAACATCGAGAGGACAACATGACAAATTGGATGGGTGAAACAAAAATGTGGGAAGAAAAAGAAGACATAAGGAAACTTTCAGGAAAAGTGAACATTACTTTTTATGTATCGTGAATGAGCAGATAAAGGTGGAGCCCAGTTTTCTGTTATTATTACATTGACACTTTAGGAGTATATTTTCCTCTTCAGTTGCTGAGCAGTTGTTAATGAGATGTATTATAGGCGAAGGTGGAAAGTCAACTACGCACATCTATTCAAGTACCGGTACTGTACTTATGAACAAGTTGGAGGTTTTAATAGTGAATGAGCTCATTTATATGGAGCTTTTATCCAAGGTGCTTTACAATTTGGCTGTAAAGCATGTACATAATATACTTTATATGGTGTTATGTGTTTTTATACGCTGTGATACTGTAGCGTTGGGCTAAAAGCAAATTGTCCCCATTAGGTCTTTCCAATACAATCTGATGCCCACCATGGCCCTTATACCCAACAGGATAAGGCGTTAGCATCGTGATCCCACACTAAATGTTGTGATAGTATCATATCCTGGGTTACCCTAATGCCGGGCCTACTGGTGTTTAATTCTGGTTTCACTCTACCTGCCAGCTCTCTTACAAATTGGCACTAAATGCCTGACATGGGATTAGAAACAGAATCTGTACCACATGAACCACATCACAGCCCCGTCACCTGAGCTTACACGCTTCATACATAACACACATCCACACGGTGCACATTGAAGCTCACTGCAAGTCGCTATCTCAGAGTGAGCGGGGGGAGATGGGAGGGAGATAGAGAGAGTGGGGTTTAGGGTAATCTGTCACTGTCTCATTACTGGGCCACATAAAGCAGGGAGGGAGGGTTAGGGAAGCGGAGGTAATGCAATA